GTTGCTGGCCTTTAGCATTATCTTAAACGTGAGAATATAAGAACTTACTTTAAAAACCACTGAAAATGCAACCCTAGTATGTACCAAGGCACACAGGGGCTACGTTTGATGTATACACCAGGGGCCAGTGGTGGCCAGCTCACTGTTTAAACACCAAGGGGCCTGGGGGCCCACACATTGTAAGTGCTGAGGGGTCTGGGGGGCCTCAGTGGTTAACTCACACTATTGGCACCCAGGAGCCTAGTGGTCAGATTGTACTGTTGAGTGCCCTGGCGTTCAACTTCATTTGGGAGTCTTAAGGCCACGTGCCTTGTGGGGCCTGAGGCTTAGAGGCCTCCTTGCAGTCTGAGAGCCCGGAGCACTGGACCCACTGGCCTGGTCCATTATCTAGCCTTGACTGCATCCCATAAAGGAAAGAACTCTCAAGTGTAACTTGTTTTGTTTCCATATAAGGGAAGATGGTTGTGAGAGAAATCTTTCAAAGCTAAAGCTCACTGGAAAGCATATAAATGGAAATAGGATCCCAAAATAAACCTACATCAGCAATATTAAACCATGAACAATTCTGACAAATCAATGGACTATTAAGATCAATCATTCAACATTCAACATTTTATTTTTAAAAGTTAAGGCTTTACTTTGAAATCATGGTAGTTACCAACATATAGAGTTTCAAAATAAGGTTAATCACTTAACCAGTAAATTGAGCAATGAGCCATTCCCAAAAACCTTGATTCTTCCCTTGATGGACAGAATTATCTGTAAGATCAGGGAACCGGATGTGTGTGTACAATGGATATAAGGTATGTATTGCACATTCCAGCATAACGTAATTACCACAAGGGAATAGCTCGACCTGGGATCCTGGTTATCCGTATGTGCACACTGAGCCACCAGGGTTTCCTTTTTATTATTAGATTTGCATTGTGGGCTTTAGCATTCCACAATGACAGACTTATGACCTGTATGTGATTCATGCACAGTATAATGGAGAAAAAGCAGATACGGTAGAAAGACGCAGGAATGTCGACATCTGTAGATTTATCTTGGAGAAATAAGTTAAACTGGACTCGATGTTTGGTCATGAAGATGTTTCACAAGCCAGATTTAATCAGATTTATTATATTGTGTTTCCTGTGTGTTCGTATCCTTTCCCATGGGCTCTCGATCCTACTGCATGTAATGCCTGTGGTATTGTAGCGTGTACGTTTTTGGCTTCTCTGTCTGTGCTTCTGTCTGTTTTCCACCCTGCCTGATTGATTTTCTCGGTGTTGGTCCATCTGCTAATCAACCTGTCTTTCCGTTTGTGTATTACATGCTGCACCTGTACTGAAGCCTGAGGCAGTGCATGTGAGCTGCTGTTTCATGCCGTAGATACATCAGTCTTTTCAAATTCCCTTAAGATAATTGCTTTCTTTTATTCAGTGTTATTGTATTATATTTGAGTTTGGTTTTTTTGTTAATCCCTACCGGCAAGCTTAAATCAAAGGCCAGTGTTGCTCGGATGCTTTTTTCATGTATGTGTCTTTGAGTGTCGCAAGGTGAAATTAAAGGAGCAATAATCTATATTTTCATTTAACCATCAATCACATATCACAGAGAATTTTCACCTGACTCTTTTCTGGCTTTCAGGTCTGCTACTTTACTTTTTTGGTTAACTTTCACCACTCTCATCAACCTCATTTCAAGCCACAACAAGGTGTTTTTCTGCAAAACCCCTAAATACATAGTGGAACACTTAGCAGCCTAAGAGTCACATATTTCACTCTGGAGTTGGTAGAGACCAAAAACAGAGCCAAAATTGTAATATTGGATTTACATTTGCCAGATTGACAGAAACACAACTCACTCATTTACTGCAGGTTTAAAGAATGGGTTTCTTTTTGAGGTGGAAATGACACAGGATGCTCAGCCTCAGCTGCAAATTAGTAGATGAAATTAGGTTTTTACTGAAAAATAAATATTATTTTGGATCACTATGTGTATGGCAAAAAATCATTCACTATCGCTATTAACTCTTACGGTGCTTCTGATACTAAATCATGCAGTAAGGATGAAGGATGTGAGGGGTTGCCTCACCTTTTCAGCACAATTCACTCCAACTACACTTCAGAAGAGGGAAAATGCACACTGAGAGCAGTTTTAAAGAACAGTCTGGCTCTGGTAATAGTTCAGTTCAGTGAGAATCTGTGCTCTGCTCCTTGTCCTGTCTTTTCAGCACTCATCAGGGACTGGCCTCTTGAACATTACTCTCTTTAGTAACCCTGCCAAGTTGTGGTGGTAGAGCCCACTGTGTGCTGTGGGGGCAGACCAGCCACCTGCTTCCAATCTCTGATAGGACACAGAAGGCACCGTCTATGGAAATGTATGTCAGCCACTGACACCAAGGCTGTGGTGTTGACAGTGTGAGGTAATAAACAGCCTGGACACAGCCCAAGCATGTGCTGAGACACTGGAGCCTGCTCTGTAATAGTTGTATTTACCCCTGCTTGTGAATGCCACTCTGTCTCACTCTATTAAGCCTTGGATTACGCTTTGCTTTGGTTAAATTGGTGCATTGGTCTGCATGAAATTAAGAGAGCACAGGCACATAACAGTGTGAGGACAGAAACCATCTGGTCCTCACTAAGGGAGTCTGGTTGTTTTCAGAGCACTTTATAGTAGAGTGATTATGGATGGTGCCTAAAACTGGATCCTGTTGTAGTGGAGGTTGTAGATCTGTAATGAGACAACTAATGACGTCAGCAGAAATGAGGAATTTCTCCCATTGAAAGGATCAGTGTGTAGGATTTAGTGGCATCTAGCATAGTTGGAGATTACTACCCCCTCACCTCACTCTCCCAATGGGAAAAAAATTTCTATCTAGAGTCAGTGTTTGGTTTGTCTGTTCTGGGCGTTCATGGCAGCCTCTGTAGAGAGGACCTGCTCCCTCTGTAAATAAAAACGGCTCATGCTAAGGTAACAAAAACTCAATCATTCTTATTTTTAGGTGATTATACACTAATGAAAACATACTTATGAATTTTTATATTCAATCTCTGCCAATAGATCCTCTTAAATGTTACACACTGGAGCTTTAAGAAAAGTAAGGTGCTGAATCAGGTTGTGATGACACTGTACTACTTTGAGGGGAAAATACAATACATTTTCCACTTTTCTCTTTCTAACATGCACACATAGACACACCCCCAAAGTCAAGACTGAATTTATCATGTAAGAAATAGTCTT